CAAGGGCATGTACCTTGGTTGTAGGCACATCCCCGATAGGGGGTGTGCAAGAGGCAGCTGGTCGATGTTTCTCTCTCATCGACATTTCTAGCTCTCTATCTCTCTCCCTTCCTCTCTGTAAAAAAGCAATAAAATGTATTTTTTTTTAATTTAACTGAAGAAAAGCTATTTCTTCATTCTATTGTCATACATCATCTGAGTATCTTGTACATCAATGAATCTCAAGGTGAGGAGACAGCAAAAATCACCTGGATGGCTTTTTTTAATTAAACGTACCTAAGATTTTAAGCACCCTTTTTCTATACACACATTCCTTCTACTGAGGAACACTGTCACAATAAATAATCGTTATGTATAGGAATCTGTCACAACCCTAAGATATAATATGACAGGAAAAAAAGGGTAAGAAGCATCAGCCAATAGTCCTTTGTTCCTTTTGCCATCTTTTACAACTGAGCCCTAAAATGGCAATAGAACAATTACAAATTTCTTGTGACTGATGAGCAATAGACTAGTTTAAGAATTAGAGGTTGTAAGGGAGCTAAGAAATGCAGTATGTCTCCAGCAGTAAAGGCATCTGGGCAATGTTGGATTCTCTCTTTAACCTTCTGTGACTGTTTAACTCTGTAGTCTCAGATTTAGCTGACTACCCAGAAAGCCAGAATGCTGCCCAAAGATAATATCAGGCCCCAGCAGGAATGAATGGATGTATACAGAATGAGTAACTGCCTGATGTTATTCGTTAACTTAGAAATGCATTGTCCTTTCTTGTGGTCTACGTGATTACTCACCATATGCTTTTACTATTAACCCCTATACAAAAGAGACCCTGTCCTGGGAGAGTATGGATGTCGTCCCAACAGGCCACCACTGGGAGCAAGCACCTGCTTTGCCTGTGTATGTAAGTTTCTTCTATTAACACTCTTATTAATTTGATTAAGATTATATGACAGTTCTTCAGAACTGATCCTGAATTTAGACTTTTGGGGTTTTTTTAAACCACCAGATAAGCTTACTTAAAATATAAGTTCCTGGGCTCCATCTCCCAGATACTTTGTCGGTATAAAGTAATGCCTGGGAATCTATAATTTAAGTAAATATTATCTGTTGATAATGATGTATCCAAGCCAAGATTTAGGGATCCTGTTCTTACTTCTAAGATTAAACACTGGGATCTATTTTAGTTTTTTTCTTTTCTTCTTTTCACTTTTTCTAAGTCTTACTCAAAGAACTCCTGGGGAATACTTTTTAAAAGCTTTTCCTATTATTTAAAAAGGCTGGGTCTTTAGAAGGCTTAGAAATTCAACTATAATAATCAAACATTCAGATTCTGTGTAATGACAAATTAAATTTAGTCACTGGTTAAAGCATTTTGTATGTTACTAAACTTTAATTTTTAAAGATTAAAAGCATCTAACTGGCATGGTTCAGTAGTTAAGTGTAAACCTATAAACCCAGAGGTCACGGTTTGATTCCTTGTTGCAGGCTCGATCCCCATTGGGAGGCATGCAAGGGGTGGCAGATCAGTGATTCTCTCTCATCATTGATATTTCTGTTTTTCTCTCCCTCTCCCTTCATCTCTGAAATCAATAAAAATATTTTTTTAAAGTAAAAGCAAAGTAATTTAAGGTTATATCTGAGAAAGAATAAAATTATAATCACTTCTTATTATTTTGAAATCTCAGATTCAAATTAATTCAAGTTTTAATTTCTAATTCATATTGTACCATCAAATAAATATGAAGATTTGATCAATCATTTCTTTTTTTTTTTATCTTGATGTTATTTGTCCCCTCTTTTCCCATTGGCCCTATCTAGCCCACCCCCTAAAAGGACTTCACCACACTATTGTCTGGGTCCATGGGATATGCAAATATGTGCATAAAAGTTCTTTAGTTGATGTCTTCCAACCCACCCACCAATCCTCACCTTCCCTCTGAGATTTGACAGTCTGTTCAATGCTTCCATGTCTCTGGACCTACAACTAGCATCATACTCAAAGGGAAAAACTTTTTGTCCCCTAAAAACTGGAACAAGACAAGGTAGTCCACTTTACAACTTTTATTCAGCATCAGTGTGCTAGTGCACAGACTAGTGCACAATGAAAGAAAATTAGAAAAAATATTTTAATATTGCTATTTGCCCTTTCTCTATAATAGAAGTGTCAAATCATAGAGACCCCCCCCCTCAAAAAAAAAAATACAAAAGATCAATGAAACCAAGAACTGGTTCTTTAAAAGGATAAATAAGATAGATAACTTTCATCAAGATGCAAAGACATCAGGGTGGGGATAAAGGGGAGAGATCAACCAAAGGACTTGTATGCATGCATATAAGTCTAACCAATGGACATAGACACAAGGGGAGTGAGGACATGAGTGAGGGTGGGGAGTGAAAGGGGCTATGTGGGCATAAGGATATGTATGTAATACCTTAATCAAGAAAGAAAATAAAAGTAAAAAAAAAAAAAAAAGTAGAAGTGTCAACCAAATTCACTATCAACAATAACAGATCGAAACACATGCGTGCAATTGGTGCCAGCAAGAGCTTTCTTTATATGTATCACACATATGTGAGTTTTATATATATAGATAAACTTACTTAATTAGACATGCTTTCTGATTTAAACTTTTCCCAGCCCAGTAAAGCACCTTAACCAACATAGCAGTAAATATCAACATGAAGCAGATTATTATTGCAGATCATGCAGGGAGAACAAAGGGTAAAATATTTAACTGTAAGAGACTATATTCTGCACAGTGAGAAAACCTGAAGTCATTTTCAAGATCCATTACTACTTCTTTTTACAATAGTAGTGTCAAGTTTCTAAACTCTAAATCTCCATTGTTTTGCTAATAAAAAGAAAAGATTCTACCAAGTCTCCTATCTACCTACTCTAGGATTTCTGTGAGGATCAAATGAGATGAGGCACATAAAAATGCTTCACAGACATTTGGTTGAACTGTAAAATGTTTGCACCTATAAAGCAGTCGTGTTCCTGGGCTAAAGAAACGCCAAGGAGGCTAGTCGCTAGGGAAAGGAAGCTGGCAGTTGCTACAGGACATCATTGCCTGGCACCTACAGCGACCATAACCAGGCTGGGCTGGACTGTGGGCCATATTTTGCACCATGGGTCTCAGCAGTGTCAACTGTGATTTGGTGGGCTGTCGCTCCAAGGTGGTGCCTGTGTCCCACTTTGGAAAAGCTGAGTGTTTGTGTGCACAAGGTCCGCAGTGCCACTTCTCTGTAAATGGCCAGTGTGCATCACAGCAGCTCCTGCATTGAGCATCTGCCCCCTGTTGGTCAGTGTGTGTCACAGTGGCCAGTCTGAAACTTAGCATATTAGCCTTTTTTATATTTAGACTAGAGGCTCAGTGCACAAAATTCATGCACGAGGGTAGGGGTGTCCCTCAGCCCAGCCTGTACCCTCTACAATCTGGGACCCCTCAAGAGATGTCTGACTGCCCAGGATTGGACCTAAACAGGCATTCGGATATCCCTCTCACAATCCAGGACTGCTGGCTCCCAACTGCTCACCTGCCTGCCTTCTTGATTGCCCCTAACCGCTTCTGCCTGCCAGCCTGATCACCCTAACCACTCCCCTGCCAGCCTGATTGATTTCCAACTGTTCCCCTGCCAGCCTGTTTGCCTCCAACTTTCCTCCACTTTTGCCTGGTCACCCCTAACTGCCCTCCCCTGCAGGCTTCCATCGCCCAAATGCCCTCCATCGCCCCCAACTGCCCACTCTCTTGTGGTGGCCATCTTGTGTCCACATGGGGGCAGGATCTTTGACCACATGGGGGCAGCCATCTTATGTGTTGGAGTGATGATCAATCTGCATATTATTCTTTTATTAGACAGGATAGTGGCCTGGTGCATGGGTGGGGGCCAGCTGGTTTGCCCTGAAGGGTGTCCTCGATCAGGATAAGGGTTCTCTTGGGGTATGGGGCAGCATGGACAAGGGGCCTATGGTAGTTTTCAGGCTGGCCACACCTCCCCATGACCCAAGAGGAGGCCCTAGTTTCTGGGATTTATTTATCTTCTATAACTAAAACTTTATAGCCTGCAGTGCAGCCAAGCCTCCTGCTTGCTTCCCAACCAATTGCCTGCCTGCCTGCCTGCCTGATTGCCCCTAACTGCTTCTGCCTGTTAGCCTGATCACTCCCTAATTTCTCCCCTGACAGCCCAATTGCCCCTAACTGCCCGCCCCAGCTGAGCCCCTAACTGGTTGCCTCTAACTGTCCTCTCTTGCAGGTCTGGTTGCCCCCAACTGCCCTCTCCTGCTGACCTGGGTCCCCCCCAACTGTCCTCCCCTGCAGACCTGGGTCCCCCCTACAACTATCCTCCCCTGCAGGCCTGGTCACCCCCAAATGCCCTCCTCTGCCAGCCCATTCAACCCTAACTATCCTCCACTGCAGGCCTGATCGCCCACAACTGCCCTCCCTTGCTAGCCAACTTGTGGCAGCCATCTTGTGTCCACATAGGGGCAGCCATCTTTGACCACATGGGGGCAAGTGACCACTTGTGCATTAGAGTGATGATCAATTTGCATATTATCTCTTTATTATATAGGATGATATAGAATAAGATAGCACTTAGCTCTTAAACTGCAAAGCCCATAATTATGCCTTGTTATATTTATTTTCTAGAAGCACAATAATACTAAGTTGCCTTTCTTCCACCTTAAACTTGTTAAAGAACTAAAAAAAAAAAATTACAGAAGCATCCTTAAGTTAAACTATCATGAATGTCCACAAAAAGAACTGCTCCCCATTATTGCCAAGAGGGCATGACAACCAAAAAATTAAAAAATAATCAAGGCAAAGGACCAAACCGGGAAAAAGCCAAGGAACAGAGAATAGAAAATACTAAATTAAATAATAATCAGCAAGATAAATGTACCAAGAAGGGGAAAACCTCAGAAAAGAAAAAATAACAGTTCATTTCATTTATATGCATGAATTCAGACAGTAAAAGCAAACATACAGAAAAAAACTAACCTGGTTTTCCTCCTGCACAACTCTATACTGTTCCTTCCAAACAGTGATTTTGGAAGCTTCATCTTTTCTCAGGGCTCGCTCTTTCTTCAGCTCTGGGCTCCAGAAGGTCTTGATGCTATTCATTGAAGAACTTAATTTGCTCTCTTTTACTTCCACATCCTTCCGCAAGAGATCATTTTCCCTTAATACTTCCTTCAGCTGTGTCTGCAGATCCATGATTGTGTTATCTCTTGCCTGACGAAGAGAGTGAGGAACAGTAGATGCCATACTCACAGGAGGGAGGTGATGCTCTCCAAATGCTATGGTGTCACTAGCAACCCCACCACTAGCTATATTAGGGCTACTGCCCATAGCAGTCATCCTAACACCGTAAGGCAGACGTCCCCCAGAACGGCCAAGTGTCATAGTGCTTTTAGGTGTTTCTGAACCCACATTTTCATGATCACTTAGGTACATAGGGCCAGATGTGGCATAGGCAGCATTTAAGGACTGGATATTCTCCATTGAAAGGGTTTTCCCACTGCCACCTCCAACACTGCTTCCAGAGCTCCCTCCTGTACTATTGGTTCGGCGATGGCCCAAGCGAGGGGAACGTGGAAGCCTAGGTGAACGCCCAGGGCTCTGGTTGCTCGGTTCCACCTTCCCAACTGAACGAGCACTTCCATACATGACTGCAAGATGAACTTAGGTAGCAGGAAAGGTATAAAGCAGAGAGCAAAATATGGAACTCCGTGAGGTTTCTTGATGGCTGTAAGTTTGCTTAAGGCAAATCAGGAATAACAGGTCCTCAGCTGTCCAGTTTTGAAGAAATATCTTATACCATATCTGTAATGAGAAGATCACACAGTCAATCCTCCAATAATAACCATTTCCCGTCTAAAAAATACTTCATTACCCCCACCTGAGGAAGCTCTCCCTCCTATCTTCTATTTACTCATGCATTCAAAATTTGTTTACAGCACAACTTATTTCATAGTAAACATCATTCTATAAATATTTCACATTTCCCAAAAACTGAATATTGAAACCATACCAAGCAAATGAAAAAGTGCCAAGGAAAAGATAAAACTGTTTGAAAATATGATTTTCTAACTGAAAACCCAAGATTATAAAATAAAAAGTTATTAGGACTAATAATAAAACCCAACAAGTTTGTCAGATATAAGATCAATATATAAATAGCAATACTTTCTTGCACATTAGTAATAATAATCAAAGTGATTTTTTTAAAGTTCATTCACAATAGCAACCATAAAAACACTTTGATATAAATCTAACAAAAAAAAAGGCATGCTTTTTTTAAATTACAAAACTTTACAGAAACAACACCTGAACAAAACAAAATATATCCATGCTCATGGATAAGAACACAAACACTGGAAAGGTGGTTAGTTTTTGACCAACTACTTCAAATTCCAATGAAAATCTCCACAAGATTCTTAACATAACTCTAAAGTTGACTCTAAAATTCAAATAGAATTGTAGGGATACAAGAATAACCAAAACAACCTGAAATAAAAGAATAAAGAAGGAATATGTCCCCTACATAGCAAGATAAATTACAGGTTCAGTATCCTTAATCTGCAATCCAAAAATCCAAAATATCTGAAAAGTGGTGTTTTTTTTTTTCTTTTTAACTCACTTAGAAGCAAAACCTGACCTGATTTTTTTATATGCATCTCAGTGTGATTATGGTACACTTCATTAAGAAAATAATGTGGACTTACAGGATATTGCATAAGGCTCATTGGATACTAATATCCTGAGCACTGACGAGTCTTAGGTTTGATTGCTAGAAAAGGGCACATACCTGGATTACAGGCCTCGGCAAGGGTGAGTGCAGGAGGCAACCGATCAGTATGTCTCTCTCATGATGATGTATCTCACTGTCTGTGTGTGTGTCTCTTCACAGCTGCCCCAACCCCTCTTCCACTCTTTTTAAAAATCAATGGAAAAAATACCCTCAGGTGAGGATTAACCAAAAACTGAAGATATTTAATTTTTTAATCCAGTAAATTTTGAGGTTCCTCTTTGACTAATGTCTTTTGAGGTTACTCTATGACTAACCTCATATTATTTTCATAATACTATGACATTATTTGCCGTTTTCATTGTATGTTCTCACAAATGTATAGAAGAGTTTTCCAGAGATACAGAACATGTGATATTATTCCACTGATAGCTAATGGAATGTGTCCTTTTGCTCGCTTATGTATTAAAATTTTGTTTTACTTTCTATATGATAAACAGTAATAGTATAGCCTACATAAAGAAAAGCTATTTAGCATCCTCATTATTTTTTTAAGTGTGTAAAGGGATCCAGGAACTAAAGAGTTTAAGAACTACTGCTCTAAAATTTGGTAGCACAGGTAAACACCTAAACTGCTGCCTCGCACAACAATATCAAAACTACAACTAAAAGACAAAACGTACACCATCCAAAATCATAGAAAAACTGGCTAAGTGGAAATTCTACAACTAGAAGAAAAGAGGAAAGCACACTGAGATTCAGAGGAGCTGCAAAAGGCTGAGGTATGGAGATGCGCACGCAGAGAGGATGAGCGTCTGTGTGCACAGGCGGCTGAGTGTGCGGCTGACTTTCTAAAGCAGTAGGGAGACAGAAGCCCCTGACTGCACTGGCCGAAACTGGTTTGGCTCAGTGGATAGAGCGTCAGCCTGCAGACTGAAAGGTTCCGGGTTCGATTCCGGTCAAGGGCACGTACCTTGGTTGCGGGCACATCCCCAGTGGGGGGTGTGCAAGAGGCAGCTGGTCGATTTATCTCTCTCATTGGCGTTTCTAACTCTCTATCCCTCTCAATTCCTCTCTGTGTAAAATCAATAAAATATATTTTAAAAAATAAATACAATAAATAAAAAGTTAAGAAGAAGAAGAAGAAGAAGAAGAAGAAGAAGAAGCAGCAGCAGCAGCAGCAGCCGCAGCCGCCGCCGCCAAAGCCACCCCCAACTGCACTGAACTCCAGTCCAAGGCGAAACTCTAGCAAACCAGACTTATCCAGGGGAAATCTGAACTGTCAGGAAAAGAAAAAGCACACTGAGACTCAGAAGCTGCGAAAGGCAGAGGTCTGGAGGCACACAAGCCCGGAGAAGACTGACTGCTGAATAAATGGGCAGCTGAGTGTGTGGCTGGCTTTCTAAAGTGGGAGGGAGACAGAAGTTCCCAACAGCACTAAACTCCAGTTCCAGGCAAGTTTCTGGAAACCCTGATTCATTCAGGGAGAAACTGGACTGTCTGGGCGAAACTTGACGGTGGCTTCTCTCAGAGGTTCTTACAGCAATTACCAAGGGACATTGAGACCCAGGGGCCTCATAGGGCAGGGCTGACAGGAAACAAAGGTTGTCTGCTCCACCCAAAAACTCCATCCCATCAAGCTGAGCACAGAGGCTTTTGCAGTTTTGCAAGTCTTGTCTCATACGAGTGTCTCCAGCGCAGAAGTTCTTCTAGCATAGACACAGCCAATCCTCTCAGCCAATTAACCTGGAGGTCAACTCCTCCCAGTGATACCAACAATAATCCAGACTTAACTACAACAAGGCTGAGCACACAGTCCACAAAGGGGTGCACTAAGTGTGTCGACCTCAGGTAACTGGGGAGGCTGAGCCACTGGGACCTATAGGACACCTACCACACAAAGCTACTCTACCAACTTAGGGAAGCAGCGAAAATTCGGAGACAAAGAAACAGATCACAAATGAAAGAAATGCAGTAAAGCAAACTACTAGATATAGAGTTCAAAACCACAGTTATAAGGTTTTTCAAGGATTTCCTAGAAAAGGCCGATAAATTTAGCAAGACCCTCGAGGATATGAAAAAAAAACAACTAGAAATTAAACATACACTGACTAAAATAGAAAATATTATAGACAGACCTAACAGCAAACTAAAGAACTGCAAGAATCAATCAAAGATTTGAAATACAAACAAGCAAAAACCAGCCTGAAAAGCAAAAAGAAAAAATAATCCAAAAATTGGAAGATAGTGTAAGGAGCCTCTGGGACAATGTCAAGCATACCAACATCAGAATTATGGGGGGTGCCAGAAGAAGAGAGGGAGCAAGTTACTGAAAACCTATTTGAAGAAATAATGACTGAAAACTTCCCCCACCTGGTGAAAGGCATAGACTTACAAGTGCAGGAAGCGCACAGAACCAAAAAAAAAAAAAAAAAAAGAAATCCAATGAGAACCAAACCAAGACACATCATAATTAAAATGCCAAGAGCAAAGGACAAAGAGAGAATCTTAAAAGCAGCAAGAGAAAAACAGTTAATTACCTACAAGGGAGCACCCATACAACTGTCAGCTGATTTCTCAACAGAAACTATGCAGCCCAGACAGGAGTGGCAAGAAATAAAACAAAGAACTTCACAGAGAAGGAAAAGCTAAAGGAGTTCAACACCAACAAACCAGTATTAAATGAAATGCTGAAAGGTATTCTTTAAGAAGAGGAAGAAAAGAAAAAGGTAAAGATAAAAAATATGAACAACAAATACATGTTTATCAACAAGTGAATCTAAAAATCAAGTGAATAAAAAATCTGATGAACAGAATAAACTGGTGAATATAATAGAATCAGAGGCATAGGAAGGGAGTGGACTGACAATTCTCAGGGGGAAAGGGGAATGGGGGAGTGCAAGAAGAGACTGGACAAAAAGCGTACACCTATGGATAAGGACAGTGTGGGGGGAGGTAAGGGCAGAGGGTGGGGTAGAATTGGGCAGAAGGGAGCTATTGGGGGGGGGGGAGAGGAACTGTAATAATCTGAAAAATAGATTAAATTTAAAAAAAGAAAAAAAATTAAATGATATAATCATGCATATAAACATACACAGGGTGGCCAGATTATTATCATCTCTGAAAACAATAATCTGGGCATTCAGTGCAGTGTGTGTGTGTGTGTGTGTGTGTGTGTGTGTGGAGAGAGAGAGGGGGGGGGGGCCTGGTGCATGAATTCGTGCATGGGTGGGGCTAGGGGGAGGGGACATGAGCAGTTGGCCGGCCTACTGGTCGAAGTCCTGGTAGAGGGGACAATTTGCATATTGGCCTCTTATTATATAGGATATACACTGAGTGGCCAGATTATTATGCATTCAGAAATCATAATCTGGCCATTCAGTGTTCATCCTTTGATGGCTTCCCAAAATAAGAATATAAATTCCTCAGCTGTACATATAGGATTATTCATGATTTGGACTCTGCCTACCTCTGTCTAGGCAGGTTACTTCTAAATTACTCTTCGTTGCATCTGACAGCTATAAACAAGTACCTAAATTTTAATGAAATACCATGACCATCCTCATCCCCATCAACTGGCTCCGTTTAATGGTCTGATTGATGCTTCTCTGATTGATGTTTCTCTGTTTTTGTTCATACAATTGTTCATTATATTCCACAAATGAGTAAGATCATTTGATATTTATTTTGTTCAGCTGGTTTATTTCACTTAACATAATGCGCTCTAGTTTCATCCATACTGTTGCAAATGATTTAAAAATACTTTTTAACTGCAGAATAGTACTCCATTGTGTAGATCACATGTGTCAAACACAAGGCCCACGGGCCAAATCCGTCCCGCCAGGCCTTGCAATGTGGCCCGCACCGCGCTGTCATCACTGCACTCCGCTGCGTTTCCATCACAATGACAGTTTATGACTGTTCAGTAAACCATTCGGCCCGCGATTTAGGCTGGATTTTAGATTTTGGCCCCTTCTCTGATTGAGTTCGACACCCCTAGTGTAGATGTACCAGTTTTTTAATTCACTCATCTGCTGGTGGGCACTTAGGCTGTTTCCAAATCTTAGCTATGGTA